AACACAGATGTACCAGTTACATATGGGTACCTTGAAAAAATTATGAAAAAAAAATTTGAAATGTCATACAGAAAGCTAAATCCCCAAATTAAAATAAGAAAATCGAAAGTGTGAGAACAGAATACAGGGTTCTCTAAGAGGCTTCAAGAGTAGCCTAGGTTTAGCCTTCGATTCCATCAATTGCTCAAAAAATCACACATTCAAAATCAAAGTAACCAAAAAATAATATAGATGGTGGAAATCAGATAGAAAATTGAAACTTACACTCGTTCTTGTCTTCTAAGATTTGTCAATTTCCTTTGGCTCAAAATAAAAAATTAAATTAGAAGAAGGATGAGGAGGAACTTACAGGGCTGGAGAGTGGAGCAACAGATCTGCGAGATAGAGAGAGACAGAGAGTCATGACAGAGAACACAGACCAAGCCAAGAGAGATCAATTAGCACAGCCTCTTCAGATTCCTTAGCAGACCTCTCCAAATCCATGTCTTCAATTCTCAAAACGAATTTCCCTCCATTGGACCTGAGCCAACACAGATAGTCATACTCATATTCCTCTGAAAACACAGATACCTTGTTGGATTCGTCACTCGCTGCTCGTCAAATCTCTGTACGAAGTAGTCGCCAAATTTACCTCTGACAGAACGGTTGTTGTAGTATTTGAGCCAAGAGAGGCGGATCGTGAATGGGAAGGTGGCGAAGCCAGTATTGAAGGAGAGGTTCAACGAGATCCACAAGACGAAGAGCACGAAGGGCCGCGAATTTCAAAAGGAAGGAGGCTAGGGTTGGGGCTTCACAATTATCAGGAGCTTTATGACAGACTGAAAAGATGCAAACTCGAGAGGTTCGCGAATGGCCGCAAATTCACTTACGCGAAATTTTTATTAGCGCGTCTTGGAAAGACGACGGTGACTTCTTTCAACCGCCGTGTTATTAAAATCAACTAAGGTTTTAGGACTGCACAACGACGGTTGTTATAATACCCGTCGTTGTTTGTAATATTTTTTAAATCATGACGGTTTTTTAATTTTGCGTCGTGTATTTAATGTCATTGTTTTACATTATTGTAGTAGTGTGCATACATGATAATGGACAATTTGGAAGTGAATCGCTATGTCTACCATATCGTGCATATTTGGGGGAACATGTGAATTTTCAAGTTCTTTTCTTAATTGATTCAAATTGGGGAGCGTGTGATAGATTAATGTATATGTTTCGACTTCTACTCTACACACTCGATCGACAGACAGATGATAACCATCATGCATTATTCTATAGGCTCTACTTTGCCGCAATTCTTTTCTTTTTTGTTTTGGTTGGAGGTGGTGTTGTTATTCAAAATGATCATTTTCTTTTCATTAGTTCTTAGGGTAACGCTTGAAGGGTCGACGCCATTCCCCGTCGAAATTAAGTTGTTCGGTTGGAGTGATTTCTGCAGTTTGTTTTAGCTGATTTGGCATCCACGTTGGATTTAACATCTCCTTTCGAGATGCTCTTAGAGTTTAAAGTTTGCCACGCTGAAAGGATAGCATCAATGGTCATTGTTGCCCTCCTTAAAGAATAAAATGTGTCATGCAAAACATGTCCTTTTTGCAAGATCAACTTGAACAATTGAGTTTTCATCACATTTTGTGTGAAGGGAATTTCCTAACTAATGCTCTTGCAAGACTTGGTCATCAATTTGAAGATTATCATTTATGGGTGCACTCTCTCAAGCTTGGGTGGCCTTAGCTTTGGATCTTTAGGGTGGTGGTTTATGTAGAGGCGAACCCCTGTAGTCTTATGTTTCTTTTTTTATTAAAAAAGAAACTCTCTGCTGCCCGTTTGGTATCCTACTTGGATCCAATTTATTAAACTCAAAAACAATTTTTGAGTTCAAACCCAAAAATCTATTTGATAGGCCCATTTTTAAAAATTCAAACTCAACAATAACTCAAAAACACCCCAATATTTAAAAATAGAAAAAATATGATTTCTCAATTCTCTCTCTCTCTCTCTCTCTCTCTCTCTCTCTCTCTCTCTCTCTATTAGCATTGGCTGTGTCACCTGGTCGGGATCTTAGGCATTCTGACTTCGTTGAAGCTCTTGGACTCGGACTAGACGCCAGTGACGAGAACTCCAATGATGGCGTCATTGGAGGCCTAGTTGAGGTCCTAGGTCAAGTGAAATAATATGTTGTAATATTATTTTTGAAATTTTTAAGATTTAAAATAGTTTTGAAATTCAATACCAAATCAAATTTTAGATCTTAAAATTAGTATTTGAAAATTCATGTTTTTAAAAAGAATCATGATTTTTTAGTTCACTTTTTTTAGGTGTATTTAAAATACAATATATATTTTAAAATAATTTAAAATTCATAAAATTTAAAAATGAAAAAATCATTTATATAAGGATTTTAACCTTAAGGACCATTTATAATCCCTAAACCCTTGGTTTTTTTCATTTTTAAATTTTATGAATTTTAAATTATTTTAAAAAAACTTTATTAGTTTGTTGGTGTGGCATATATGTGGAGCCCTCATCTTCAAAAATATAGTATCATATGTATTTAAAATACAATATATATTTTTAAATAATATAAAAAAGAAAACCAAAATTTTATGAATTTTAAATTAAAAAATTAAAAAATTTTGCAAGGACCATTTGTGATAGATGTGTAAACCTTAGGAATGTTTTGTGATATGTATATATGCCACGTCAGCAAACTAACGGAGTTTTTGATGGAACCTAACGACATGGACCATTTGTGATTATACATACTAACCTTGAGGACCACGAGTGACACAAAAAAACATTAAGGATGCAATCTGATAGTTTCGTAAACCTTAGGGACCTTTTGTGATAATAAGCCATAATTTTTTAATTAATTTTTCATCCACGTAGATGTCCACGTCATCAAAAAATGAGTCCCACTTTTGATACGTCAGCATTTAACAGACTTAATAACAGTTTGACTAACAAAAAGGCTTTTAACTTCTTATAAATTACAAAACTCTCATTGATTTCTTAAAACAAGCCCAACCCCAAAACCTCATAAATAAAAAACTCAAAACACTCCATAGGGTATCAAAGTAATTTAATAATCAAAATTAAATTCAATAGGAACAGCTGTCATTATTTGGGTTTTATTCATATTGGGGCTACATTGAAACCTTAGGGGCCGTTCGGTAACGTTTTCTTAGAATATTTTCAGAGAATGAAAACAAGAAAACAAATTTGCATTTTTAGGAAATGAAAAACAGAGGGGGCAAATTGTAGGGTTTTTGCGACGTTGAGTATGTACTAATAAATGTCCCCAAAATCGAGTATGAACTCGTAAATGACCCTATAAATTCGGGGGTTTACTGTAGTTTGTCCTAAAGTTTATAGTACTTTGCTTACCTGAACAAAATAAGATCACCTGCTTTCTGCATTGCCCCTAACATGGACTCTAGCTCATGTCTACCTCACTTAAAGCTTATTATGAATTCTGCAACATCTCGTAAATGAATAAATATATATGAAATGTCATGCTACACTACAAGAAAATATGCTTTAGTTGAAACAAAAACAATGAAAATGTGTCTGGTAGTACAATTTGAAATAATAATATGTGAGTTATTTTTATGAAAACATTTCCCATGAGAATAAAAACAACTTTTTTTTGTTTTCTACAAGTACACATGAACTTGTTTTCATTTTATGAAAACATTCTCAGTGTTTTCTGTTTTTGGGCCACCGAATATGTTTTTGCCTCATTTTTGTTCTCTGAAATGGAAAACAACCCTTTAAAACATTACCAAACAGGGCCTTAGTGTAAACTTAGTTACACATCATGTTTGAAGTTTTAGTGCACATAAGGAAGAAGGAAAATTGAAAACTAGAGAAGAAAAATAAAAAATGTCAATTAAAGCCCCTTATACTTGACACTTCTTAAAAACCGTCAAAGAGATCTCTTTATACTTGACGCTTTTTAAAAAAAAAAGGCGATACTGTGGTTTGCAATATTTCGCTCCAAAATTTCACCAAAAAAATATTTCGCTCCAAAACCCAAAATCACAAGCCTTAGGTTTCCACTGTTTCTTCAAGTCTGAAATTGGAAATACAATCAAAGAGGAAAAAGTTCTGAAATTTGAAATACAACCCCCCTAGGTTTATCTTGATCTCTCTCTCCTCTCTTCTTCATCTCTGCAACGCCAGGTATAGCGCCAAAACATATACATGCGTGAAATATTGGCTAACATCTCTTTTTTATGGGCCCTAGGAAATTCTTTTCCTATATTGTTTGAATTTAGCATATTGAACTAGGATTCTTGCCCAAAAATTGACGTAAATTAAATGGGGAGTTGCTGAAATTGCTGATGTGGCAATTAAGACTCCTAGTTGCATGAGGAAACTCATTTTAATGAGTATTCTTAGAGCATCCACAGTGGGGGGTGTAAATTCGGGGGTGTAAAGCCACTTTTACATCCCCTTTACACCTCCGGGGGGTGTAAATATGTTTTTT